TGCAGTAATAGATCACTCACTTAAAAATATTTTACTCTTAAAACTACTGGGCATCAGTTGACTCATGGTAATAGACTGGATCTGAAGCACTTGGAAGCAGGTCAGACCGCAGCAGTTTGTGCCTTACTAAAAGCTTTAACGCGTTTAACTCGCACTGCCAGAGGCAGGGGTTGACGCTGGGTAGCTTGATCCTGGATTTGAGACATTTCAGCCGTAAAAATACTAGCTCATGAAATAAACATCAGTGTGACTGACAACACTAACTGAGCTGGCCCACTTGTGTCTCTGAATAAAATGAAGGGTGCACATGAATCTCTACAGGGTTGGGATTTCCATGTGTCCTGATCAGATGCCAAAGTTAGAGTGTTTCAGAGGTCAGAAAGCAGCTTTCACCTGGAGTTTCTTCAGGCTAATCTCCTAGGAAGAAAAGCTATAACAGCTTTTAAGGCAAGATAAACCTTTGGGGTGTAACTATTGCCCTCTTTCTGGATTAAAGAACAAAGCAAAAACTGGAAAAAAAAGTACAGCTACTAGCATTTAAAATAAAAGATGGCCTCATACAACTCCTTTTAATCCAGTGTTCAATTATACATTATCTCAGCCTTAGGTAGCTGTATTTTGTATCATATTTGTGAGAAACAAGCTCACTTTTTCAATTTTAGCCAGGGACAAAGTCTGTGAGGCAAAGAATATTTTATTTACAGCACTGGGAGCTTCACAGGGGATTCCTCCTCTGTGGCTCCACTCTGGCTCTCCAGAGGCTCGTTTTATCTCCCATATTGTTACATATTGATAGTTTTTCCAAGGGTAGGCAGCCTGTATTACAATTAGTTCCAGGAACTTACTATCCTAAGTCTCCTCCCTTCAACGCTTGTGCATTGCTCTCTGGTGGTCCTGGGCTGAGGTCTCTGGGATGAAGTAAGAAGTCTTCCTCATGATGCTCTTGTCATCTTTGGCCCAATTAGTTGCTTCTGTAACTGCAAGACCAGCTGAAACTGGTCTTATCAATGGCTTCCTTCTGTTGTTTCAGCAAGTGTTATGCTTATCTTACACTCAGTATAAGCTAGACTAGATTACCAGAAACTACTCCCCTCCCTAGGCTGCTGGTTTGCTTACATATCCACATAAAACACTGTAACCTAACACACATTAATATTGCCAAACTTATGAACATTAAACAAATTAATTGTGTTAGCTGAAGCAAAATTTCCCATTCAGTTATTTACTACATATTTCATAGCCTCCACATTTCAGTTTCTCCCTGAAGGTGGCTGTAGGCCATCTAAAGGTTGTCTACATACGGTTATTTTTATTAAATTCTAGGAGTTCAATGCTTAACCTGTTAGAGGACTCTGTAAGCTGCACTTTTGGTTGTTCTCACCTTTGCTCTTTCCTTTTCCCTTCTCCAACTTGCTCCCCCATGTGTTTTTGAGTCTGTTATTGTTACTCATGGTAACATCTCAAGGGAATCCAAAAAAGTAGAGGTCTCTCGAAATTCCAACGTTTAAAAATGGCCTGTGTTGGACAAGTAGAAAGATCAGTGCTTCCCTTTGAGGGGAGCATGGTAGTAGCTTCTCAGTGGTTTGTAGGTCCCAGTAAGCCATGTCTCGCCTCCAGGGCAGCTTCTTTCAGGCCTGTATCATCACAGATGCCGGAGAATACAAAGGACAGCTTGGTAAAAAGTGTTTTTTGCCTGGAGAGGGAGCTCCCCTCCACCTGATTAAACCCTGAATTGTGCTCTACAAAGGCTACTTCTGAAGAAGCTCAGATATTGCAGTATCAAGGAGAAAACTCTAGTTTCAGACTTCGTAAAAAATGTTGGGTGGTCATGAGGGGAGAATTAAGGCAGAGAGCTGGAACAGGCTTGGTTTTGTCTTATTAGGATCCTTTAATCATGTTCCTTAAAAATGAAAGACTTGTGGTGTGTGTGACTTAAAAGGTGTTAATTGAACCACTTAGTGGCTGCAAATCCCTAAACGTTTTTCACCTGTTAGTTGCTGTTTCCCCCTCTCAGTCTGTCTACAAATGCTTTCCAAGTGAGTGTTAACCCCTCATTAACAGAATCAGACTTCATTTGGACAGAATGCTTAGCTTGATCTTTGTTGTGCCAGACTTAATGGGCATCCTTTTGGGCACAGAAGTCCTTAACTTGTCTCCATCTATATTGACTGAGACAATAAAATATTACCTCTCCCTGCAAACCTGACACTTCTTATATCCTTCTATCTATCACACCTCAAACACAACTGCTCAACTGTCCTTCATATTTTTCTACCTACTCAGTAATTCTAGCTTTAATGATCTGAGGTGATTTCTTTTTTTACTAGATACAGTTACAATATTATTCTTTTCATAGTTCAGTTACAATACCTAACTCTCTTCTGCTGGTCAGCTGTGGATCTCATGCTCCTCTAGCATAGAGCATCCATCCTCTAACCAGTCAAGATGGCACCAGCATGTCTGCCTTTTTCTAGGACCTCTCCATCTGCTGACATTCTCTCAAAGTTGTTCAGATGGAAAACTGCCTTCTCTAAGATTAAGCCCTGGGCTGTATTCTTCCTGGTTTTGTGTGACTGCTGAACTTAGACTACTTTGTTTTTTCCTCCCCTTAAGCTTCTTTCAAGAAGCCCTGACTTGACCCAAGATAAGATAGTAGAGGAAACAGGTTTGAAGCCATAAATGTCTAGTGCAGTGTCTACCCCTCTGCCATTAATTGGAGATGGCTCCCAGCCCAGGGCCTTACTGTGTTGTAGCTGTAGGGCTCTCAACCATTTTTGCGGTCAGTGACTGGCTGCTCTGCCTGGGAACAAGACTCCAGATGTCAGATATGGCTATCTCTGGACCACTACAACCTTGACCTCATGGTCTTGGTGGGCAGTGCCTGCCAGCTGCATTTGATCCATAGGGAGCCACTTAAGCATCTCTGAAGGAGGCTTCTAGTAAATAACAGACTGTCAAGGCCTGCTTTTCTGTGTGGATACTTATTGGTAGCAGAGCTGGCATAATTAGAGCTCCTTGATCATAGCTTTTTGGACAGTCCTTGTACATACAGTGTCTGAGGACACTAATATTTTCTAATTAATGATGTATCATGGAAGAGGTGAAACTAGGGAAAACATTGCCTGAGCTTCACCACCTCGACCATCCTTTTAGCAGCTGGTGGTTAAAGACAATGACTTACATGGGGTAAATAAAACTTCTAAGTTTCTGAATCCAAAATTTTAAAACCAGGGATGCTGTTATAAGAAGGAAATGTGCATGTGTGTGAACAGAACATAGGTAGAGTTGCACACAAGAAGAAATACTTGTTCTAAAAAAAGCTTCTAGTGATCCACTGGGGAATGTGTGTCCTCAAGGTTTTCTCCAAGCATCATGCAGTGGTGTGAGAGGTTTGCAGAAAGTCAGTGCTGTTGGACAACTTCATCTTGTGTCTGTAAGTTACAGATTCACTTGTGCAGACAGGCAGAGTCAGAGCTGGAACTGTTCTGGATCATTGCTGATGCAAGCACCAGTATCATGTTACTCCTTCCTTGTATTTCTTCAAATTTGTCTTAAAAGTTGAGTTTCTTGCCTCCTGTTACTTGGCTGTACTAGAACCTAAGATAAGTTTGTTAATTCCATGCAGCTAAATAGTGGTGAGCCAGTATGAAGTGGTTGGTATGCATAGTCCCTCTGTAGTTATAAAAGTCACACCACAGTAAGTTGTTTGAATGTAATTAGCAGTAGAACACCAATGCTGCTTGCTGTTATTTAATTGGAAGATAAATGTCTATATTTACCTAATCTTAAGGGAAAAGGATTTTTCCTTTTCTGTGTAAATTCCTAAGGAAAACAGGATGCAAGTATATAGTGGAACCAAGAATTTGCTAAGGTATAATATTCCTAAGTCAGTATCCATGTACCTACATCATATTTCAATGTGTAGTTACACAGATCAAAGCAGTACTAAAAAGTTACACAGCCATGGGCTTCTAGCTTGTGTTGTTGGTTACAACTTGGCCCCAAGGCTACCATAATCTAGTTAACTGTCAGAGCTATTTGAGGACCTGCATGAATTAGATCCGTCAGTTCAGCTTCCACTACATGCATCACACTTGATACCAACTGGCTTGCTTCTCTGCCAGATGGTCCAAAAAATGGTGAACAAGTATTACAAATTTTCTTACCTCTGTCACATTTTTTAGGAGTCAGAGTGGAGGCATAGTGCCAGAATGTTATGAATGTGACTTGGCAGTGTTGCTGCTCTTGTTTTGTCTGCTGATGGTTAGAGTTTGTCAATGGAACTGTAATTTAGTTTTGCACAGCCACTTAATTCAGTTTAAAATATAAACCTGTGTGATACATTTTGCAGTTCTCAGTCAGAAATGGCTCCTAAACTGCCCATAGCAAAAAAACCTGCTGTTTCCTTCTGGATAGGAAGTGGGGTGGTTTTTTGCATTTACAGAAAGCTGGAAGAAGTTTCTCAGAAGTCAAACTTTGATTTACATAAGTTCAGGTATAGAATACTACATACCAAAGGAGAGATTGATTTACGATTTATGCCACCAACAGCTATGTTTTACAAATGCAGCTTCTGTTAGGTAAGAAGCTATCTTTATGGTAGTAATAATAATAGTAGTAGTAGATATTGGCAGGAGGGTAAGAAGTCAAACCCTAAGCTCTCTTTGAGAATTTGTGTGGAATTCAAGTAGTGAAAAACTGCATTTTTAGAAATTAATTCGTTAAAAAATGAAAATAATCCCAAGCTCTAGCATTTCGCATTGAGGAAGGCAATATCGCTTAAGCCAATAAAGCTTTTCTTTTAGTTTGTAGAGGAAGGAATATTCATTATATTTCTGATGGATTTTGGCATTGTCTTTTCCTAAGTGTTTCAGTGGTGTGGCTTGATCAGATCCTGCATGCTTTGCAGACACTAATTATCTGATGCATTGCATCAGTGATTTTTGTGTTGGAAGGTGTTATTTAAGGTAAGACTGACTGGGACTCTTTTTCTTTTTAAGCTGTATCAGCTGGAGTAGTTATCACAAAAACCTGCTAGCCAGCAGCGACTATGAAGGCACCGTCATCCTTTGGGATGGATTCACAGGACAAAGATCCAAGGTCTACCAGGTAACATGCAGTCAGTGAGCAACACTTTCCCACACCGTGAACCACGTCAGGGGAGCAGTAATTAGTCTGAGGTTCTGCTTCTAGTCCAGCAATAGGCATTTCTGTTACATAGTGTGAAATGGATGCTCCTCCTGTTTGGTAAACGTGTCTCAACCACACAGCTTTACTGAGCTCTAGTCTTCTGAGGGAGGCAGCTATATCTTGTCACAGTCATGAAGCAGTTGACGTTTTCTTTCTGCTGCTTTCAAGTAGGGAATCTGCACGGGAAGAAATGAGATTCTGGAAGTTGTTTGTCTCTCGTTTCTTTAGAAACCTCTGTCTCTCATACCTGTTCCACTTCAGTCTTTGTCAAAAGCCTGTTGTAAAATCCTGCAGTGATTGCTGCTGCAGGTGCTCGTAAAATAGAAGACCAAAATGCAGACTTAAGTGGCAAGGCTGGGAGAACAGAGGAGTAGGCAGAACGCTTCCTGATACAGTCCTGTGCTCAGCAGAGCAGGGTATGCATGCAAGTGGGCTGGGCCCAACACTGAGACCTGTTTCAAGAGAGGTTTCTGACATTTTGTATTTTCATGCAATTTGAACATTGTGTTTCTATGTAATAGATTCTGAGAGCCTATGGTCAGAATGATGAGGTTGGAAGAAAAATTGTTCCATTTGGGGAGGGGCTAGAAGTGCTGCAGGCTGTTGTGTAGGTAGCATAGTGCATTGCAGCTGGTCAGTGATAATGAATGAACTGCAGACTGGCCTTTAGTTCTCACTTCTTGACACTGCAACATGTTTTAATACCTATTGAAGCTTTTGTTTACCTTTTATGTTGTGGCCATTTTGTAATACTTGGTTTTGTTAATCCTTTGTGTATCTCAATTAAAAATAAATTACAGTGGACAAAATCTTATCTGTTTTCCCCTCAAATATATTTTGCATATCTTTGAAGCTGAATAATGAACCTGGAGAGGAGCAGCTGTTGCTTGTCTTATAATAAACTCATTTTGCTTCCTATCAGATTACTTGAATTTTTTATTTGGATTTGCATAGAGGCATGCATACTGACATCTGCTTCGCATGTATTAGAAATCCTTTGGTGACTTTGTCCTGGCGAGCTTTTCATGTCATCATCTTGGAACCCAGTGTGAAGGCTTTAAACAAAGGGGTTTACTGAATTCTGGGTTTCATTCAATTGCTTCCATGTGGGATGTGCCAGCAGAGCAAATACAGCTCTCTAAAGAGTGTGCAATCTTTTAAGATATTTGCGTGAAAAAATATAGGATTAGACACCAGAAGTTTTGTTTAATAACTCAACAGGGAATGAGGATTTCTTGGGCTTTCAGAGAGGAGGTGTTTGAAATGGCTTTGAACTGGCATCTTATCAGTATTGGGAGATACCACTGTGATCTACTAAAATAAGAAGCAGCACACAGTGGAATCAGAGCAAGTCAAACTGTAGTGCAAAAGCAGATCTTTAATGTATATTTCCTGAAATACTCTTTCAAGTAAAAGGAGGAAAAAAAAAATAAAACCACCAAAACCAGTTTTAAAATTTCTATTCTAATATTCTGCTTTCACTGCACATCTGGCATACTACAAGCATTGGTCTGATTGGGAGAAAAGATAATTTTTGAGAAACTGCTAAATACAGTAAGCTTCTCTATCCAGGGCTCTGCTGACAATTTGTAGCAAACAGCGTGTGTTTTTTCTTTTACTATTTTATCAGATTAATACAGCTCACTACATTGCAATATTTTTCTTGTTTCTCTAAACAGGAGCATGAGAAAAGGTGCTGGAGTGTTGACTTTAACTTGATGGACCCAAAGCTATTGGCTTCAGGCTCTGATGATGCCAAAGGTAGTACTTGTTTTCAGTCTCTATGCAGAAGGCTTACACTCTGTGTATTCCCTTTGAGGAACAAAAATGGGATATTTAAAGTAGCTGGTTCCTCAGATGCCTTTAATATTGTAGTTGAGTTCGCAGTGTGTCAAGATATTACTGAACTTTTCAGATCTTGGAGGAGGAGAGGCTTTGTTTGGATTAAGATCTCTTGGCGCGATGTTCACATTTTTGGGATAATATGCTCTCTAGCTAGCATTTTCCAGGACAATAAACAGGCCAAAATGTGTTTCACATTAGTTAAACTTGTTGAGTTAAAGCCTCAGGGCCTTTCAAAAGAGCATGTATTTATATTTCAAAAGTGAGGTTGTCAGTAAAAAGGCAGAAGTTAAAAATGCCTGCTGCTGTTTTTAACTGTAGCCCTGAATGTTAAAGACTTTGCAACAAGAAGCTTCCTGCTTTCACGATGTGTGGTGTGTTTCTCAGAGCTTAACAGGGTTGGATGCTGGACTGAATGGAAGCACTAGCAGCAGCTCTCAGCGTTCCATGCTCCAGGGTCGGTTTGACAAAGGGCTTTTGGAGAACCCTTAACACAAGCTCTTCCCAACATACTGGTAGAAAAATGTTCCTCTTCTAAGAAGAAATAGGAAACTTCTAAAGAAAATGATAGCATTGACCTATATGTAGTAGTATTCATCCCTAATGAACAAGATTTTATCTGTAATATGTTTACAGTATCAAATTAGAGTTTAAGCAGCAAGAGCTTTAGAGTTCATTTCATAGTCTGTGAGGATCCACTCTCTCAAATGGGCTGAGACAGCTCTGGACAGAGCATTTCATGATTTACTTTGAAATGATAAATTAATTTTTCATAAGCATTAAACCTTGCAGGCTGCTCCCCTCTCTAAAATGCTTTTAAATGTTGTTTCAAAAGAAAGCTGTATTAGTGTTTCTCAGTTGCATTTGGCAGTCTTAAGGTAACTTGCAATTCCATTTACAAAGTGCAGCTTTAATGATTATTTTATATTTAATTTTAAACGGTTTTCGTACCCTTGCCCCCCTTTTTGGTGGAAGTCAAGAGTGTTTTCCATGTGCTTAAATGGAATGAACGTTCACCTTGTAAATTGTCAGCCTCTTCATCAGGTTGCTCCCCACTCATGCTATGCATTTGAAAAAGCTTATCTGCCAGGTAGGCATGCATTTATTAGCATGTTAACAAGTTGTCCAGTTCTGGGAAGCCAGCTGCAAGCAGAGCTCCTTGTCTGCAGTTTAACAGTTCACTCTGTAATAGTCTCTAAATATGTAACGTTTACTTAGAAATTATTTTAATGAAGTTTGCAGATTGACAAAACTTGCATTTAATTCACAAAGGTCTTATGAAGGTATATTGGGGGTTTTGGTCAAAAAAACTGGTCTGGAACAGTTTATCCTTCTACCATGCTTTGTCTGTGATTTGCATATATAACAAGCCCTGTGTAACAAGTTCTGTGTGGAAGTGTTTGAAATACGCATAGGTTCTGGAGGTCTTCAAGGTACAGAGCAAATGCCCAAATTGATGTTAGAGGGTCCACCTTCCAATTCAGTGATCACATTGAAAGGGTTAAATGAGAGAAAAAGGTAGCACCAATGACACCTCCTCTTTTATTTCTGTTTGTGTAAGGCCACACCCTCCTTTCTAATAAGAAATCTCAATGATGATAGATACTGGTGTGACCAGGATAATTGGAGCTTATCTCACTGCACTTCCCCAGAAAGCAGGACTACAGCACTTTCCTGTCAAGTGATCAGGACAAGCCAGCAAAAAAGTGACAGCTTTGCCAGTTTTTCCTGCTCGCCTGTCTCTCTTCAGTCTTTTCAGGTTGGAAACTAATTTTTAGAGCACTTGGTATGCTTGGTAGACATGTATTGGCGAAGGAGCTTTTAGATGAAAAGTCCTGTGCTTCAGAGCTGTCCCTGTCATGGCTCAGGCAGAGGAAAGGGGGTGCTAGCAACAGGGTGCTGTTAGGGGTAAATGCATCGTCCTTTTTGTTAGATTAAGATAATCCAGGATGCTTATTTGTGGAAGATCTTTCTACTTGAATAGCAGATAATGAGAGCATAAAAGTGTTATTGTATTTGAAGTAACGGTGTGTATGAAAACTTCTATCTATAGTTACCATGTCTTTTCCTTTTAAAGGGGCAAAGGTAAATGTGTATGTCTATAGGGGCTCAAAGATATACCCTGACTAGACAGCAGTGAGCAAAATTAAAGTGTTTACTTGTGCTACAAGCAGCTTGGGGAAACGGCGCAGTCTTAATTTCAATTTTTATGCACATAATTATGGCAGGAGCTATGATCTCATGTAAGTAGGAAAGGGTGAATTTCCGCTATTGGAGGAGAAAAGGTTATTTAATTTTGTGAAAGCAAAATAATGCCATCAAAGTGATGGGTCTTGGGCTGCTGCACTTAGCTAATGACTTACAGCTGCCTGTTCTGAACCGGGAGTGTAGTTTAATGGACATGGTAGAGTTGGCAGATGAGATAAAGTATTTTGTGATGTATTTTGCCATGTGGGTAGAATTTAAGTCTCCACTGGGATGGAGACCTGTTTTAGACTGATCAAGTATTTGTTCACTGCTCTGGGGTTTGTTTTTAAAGCTTGAGGAGTTACCAGCAGTACTGACAGATTCAGCTGAAGTGAGAGTCTTGAGTTTAGATCCTTTTAAGCTGTAATCCCTTCACAATTCTGGCTCAAAATGGAGAAGTGGAGCCAAACAGGAGCACCTGAGAGCTCTGAGCTGTAGCAAGAGGTTACTTTTGATTGTCTCATGGCAAGGAGGAATGCAAGCATCTGATTCCTTACATCTAAGGAAGATAATTTCCATGCTGCCTTGGTGAGACATTTGGTACCAATCCTACAGCTGTTTTTTTTTTTTTTTTTTTTTTTTAATAGCCCTCCTGAATTTGGAGGGGCAACACAGATTTGCAGAGTTGGCTTCATAAAAAAGAAGCATGGCCTTCTAGAGAGGGAACTAGCCTGAGAACTCCTGATCAGGGTTTGCTTCTTAGCTTTGTTGAGGACTTTCAGAGAATTGTTTGGGGCTTCATTTTCAGTGAAAGTTTGCTCCTTCAGCTTCTGCTGACTAACTAGAGGTATAGGTGTTTATTGATTTTAAAATATCAGGTTGGACTTTCATTTTGATCATTTTCCTGGCTAAAAGAAGTTCAGTAACTTCCTAAAGATTTGTGGGATTGTTGTATTCAACTGGGAATACCTTAAGGTCAAGATGGTGTTGGGAGTTAAAATACCAACCAAAATATCTGTCTGGCTGTGTCTTACGCCAGAAGGAGTATCCTGTGGTCATTAGCAGTTCAGGAGCTTGCTCCTTTCCTAGGGATTCCCCTAATCTGTGCAAATCAGTTTTCTGGTAGCAGTATCATATTCCTGGTTTGTAGCTTTTCTGGAGTAACAGCAAGCTCTCCATCACGTGAGCATATAAGAATTGCAAGAGTGACAGGCTGGGTGAAATATCTTTACTATCAGTGTACCAGCTGTGTATATGGATGCATTCAGCTATTGCAGTACTCTTCTAGTCAGTGTTTAGACGCTGAAAATTAATTTATGAACTTACACATTTGGTGCAAAGCTCCAGCCAAATAAAAAAGTACCTTGAAAAGACCTAAACATTTTAAACTGGAAAAGCTTTTCTGGAGGCATCTTACTACTATGAGAAGACATTTGGCCACATAGAGATGTTTCTCTTGGCAACTGCAATAGTAGGAAGCATGTTTTGAAAACGTGTTACAGAAATAGTCAATCTCAGATGACAATTTGCTTGTCTCATCAAAAAATTCTAGGTGTTATCAAGACATCTGTACGTTGTATAATTACAGCCTCAACCTCAGCAGAATTGCTGAAAGCTTCAGCAAGTAAACTCTACCCATATAAATTATGCTTTATTAACCTGTCAGCTCTTCTTAAAAAATAATGGGCAGTTCCAGGTAAAACTTGACATGTTTCATTACGTGTTATGTCACATGTATCCTTTTATATGGTACTGACTAAGATATAATTGGAGCCCAGCATATCCCATAGCAGTTAGATCACAGAAATTGCAGACTCTAATCTGTGTCTGTCAGTTGTAACGAATATTATGATTGCTTTGAACACACAGGTTGACTCATCACCAGACTAAATGGCTCAGTTTATGACCTGAAAACCTGAACAAAAAAAGGAGCCAAGTTGAAACTGAGCCCTTAATTAACTTTTGCTACAAAACTGAGACCAGATGGCTGTTTATTAGAGGTGGTGTCAAGGGGAGACTTGGTTGCTTTGGATGCAACTTTAAATATTGATACCTGGCTGGAAGGCTTCAAGACAAGCCTATGTGGTTTTAGTATTAGATTTGGGCAGAACATTGGTCTGAACTGATATCATGTTATTTCCTCACATGCCTCAAGTTGAAGCAATGTTGTCTGCCAACATTGTAACTCTTGTAATTGTGGTATTTGATTCCTTGTATCATCTTATCCATAAACTTGATGTCCTCTACTGTCACTGCAACTTTAACTGTATATCTCCTGGTGTCTGTTCATTAACGCACAATGCTAATGTTTTGTTTTTCTGCAAAATTGTCTTTCCTGGCTCCATTCTGCTCTCTGCCTCAAAGTACAGAACATGATGGAGGAGGTACATCATCCAGTCTTGCCTGGGAGAAGGGAACATCTTAAGCCATGCTTTCAAAGCAGTTGGTTTCATTTAGAAATGTAGCTAGATGTTTAGGATGAATATTACAGCTCTGATAAATGAGAATGGACTTACTTCTGAAAATCAACAAGGTGGATTCTGTTTTCATTGAATTTTACATAATACTTGTATGCATCAGTGTTTGTATTTCTGGTGTGTGTGTGTTGCTTTATAATGACTCCAGGCAGCTCTGAAATACCCACACAGTACTGTACTTAAAATGATTCCTTGGTGTGCTCTGAGTAGTCATGCATCTCCTTCATCCTTTGAGCAGTTCTCCTAGAAATGGTCAAAAATGGCACAATCTTATTGCTTTTCACTACTTGGCATACGATTATGAAGTAGGTGTACTAGAACAAACCTGTCAGTGTTTCCTTCACCATCTAAAACATACTTGGGTAAGTAAGGTTTCCATGTGGAAACCTCGCTTCTTTTTCAAAGCTCCTCATGTATCAACCACAGTGGATAACAAGATTCCTGTTCTTCAGCCACTTTTGCTCACTTCACCTCCAAAGTGAGCTTTCTGTAAAAAGACAGCAGAGGAGCCATTAGCTGCAGATCTGAAGAAGCCCAAGCAGCTCATGGGGAGCTGTTGGGGGATTGGCCTTCATGTAGCTCTGCATGTTCAGACATTGGCTTCAGCTTGCTCTGCTTCCTGCCTCAGCATGCTGATCATGATACTCAAGTGCAGCAGAACCTACTCATGAAGCAAAGGGAGAAAGGAGAATATTTAAGGCTCATTTCCTGCCATGTAGGCTTCAACAGGGCTTTGATGCCAATGTGCTGCCCCTTCATCTGAACTGAGGACAAAGTGTTTCATCTCTAGCTTTTAATGGTAAGATTGGCTATGTGGGGGGCACTAGCACTCTTCATCTTAAGGTTAAATGATACTTGAAGTGTTTGTGGAGGATGGGGAAGTGTGTATTTTGAAAAGACATTGTGTTTTCTGTTGGTCGTCCTGTGAAGCAGAGAAGTGACTGCTTGGGGTAAGAGTTCATTCTGTACCATGTAGTTTAATCAGCGTTCACACTGTAGTCTTGTGGAACAGTACAGTTCTTGTACCAAGGGAATATATCATCATAGGAAACCAGCATACTAATTTCTTTCTTGTCTGTGCCAGTTTCTTGAGAATAAAGCAAATTGTTCTCACTCACTGTGCTCAAGCATACAATTAGATGTATTTATTCTGTGCAAAGCAGTTCTGCTGTAGAGCATAGAGTTCTTGCATCCCAGTGAAGGGACAAGGAACAAGAAAGCATATAAGCCTTCCTGTTCTTGATTATGTGAATTTCTACTCCAATAACCTTAAACCCTGAGACTATAACATGTGGTTAATCACCTGCTCTGATGTTCTCAGCAATGCAGGATGGGGACTTTTGGCATCTCCTATGTGTATGGAGGTAGGCGTATAGTGCAACTTGAGAATGTTCTCAAATTTACCAACCACTGGTGACATCTAACCCTTTATAATCACTAACATCTTGGCAACTGAGGCTTTCCAGAATCTTATTTATGAAATAACTAGATTTCGTGCCTTTCAGATGAGGTTGATTTTCTTTGTTTGTTTGTTTGCTTGTTTGTTGGGGGGAGGAGGGTGTTGATTTTGTGTGTGTGTTTACTCATTTCTCTTTTTCTGTTTCTCTAGTGAAGCTGTGGTCTACCAACTTGGACAACTCGGTAGCAAGCATTGAGGCCAAGGCTAACGTGTGTTGTGTCAAATTCAGCCCCTCTTCTAGGTATCACCTAGCTTTTGGCTGCGCAGGTAGGTAAAAGGGGTTATGGGCAAGGAGATACTGTTTCTTCCTTCCTTTGGTTTTTATTCCCCCTAAAGATGTGAGGTTGACTGCTGTGTCCATGACTGAGGTGTCTTTGCAGTTGAAATACCAGTGAGTAGGATTTTTCAAGTGTGCAGTCACCCAGAAGACATTGTGATACCCCGGTGGCAGCTTCATTTCTGGCTTTAATTTGGGTGTTCTATCAGAGATAAAAGCTTACAAAAGTAAGTCACCTAGTATGTTTATTGAGATCTCTAAGGCAACCAGGCAAAGCTCAGCTTTGAGAGTCTTACAACAAAGTTAATGCGTTAACATGGTGATAGTTGTTCTTTTCTGATTTATGGAAAGATTTATAGAGCATTGCTCTATAAATACGACACTGCCATACTGGGAATTTTAACTGGTTTTACCTGAGGCATGCTGTAGAACAATAGCTGTGCATGTTTCCTGTAGGTGCAACTACAATCCCTGTGGGTGGGCTCATGTTTTCCTAGGTTGGGCAAAGATTGCTGTTAATGTTTGGTTTTTTGGTTTTGTTTTTTTTAGTTGTTTGAAGTAGTCAGTGGGGAGGCATGATGAGCCTTTTATTCACTTAGATTAAATAATTCTTGGTGATAATACAAAGATTTGAGAGCAGAGTGGGAATTGCTTTGGGAGGTAACTGTATCGTGCTATGCATGCAGCAACTGAAACTCAGAGGTACCTATAAATGTTTAACCAACTCCGTATTTTCTTTCTCCTCGGGGAGTTTTAATGCACTTGTAACTAGATGTTCTGACAACATTTGCTACCTCTGGACTTCAGGAGTTGCATTGATCGTTCTTGCAACCACTGGTTTGCCATTTCATTTAGGTGTTCCTGTTTCCAGGCTGGTTCTACTTTGATTGTGATTCTTAAGAGAAAAAAAAAATTGCATTTTGATACACTGCAAAAAATGGATTCAAGTTGGAATGTAAAATATTGACTTGCTTGACAGGCATTTCACTGAAGTTGAGTGAATTACATGCAAGAATAGAATTGAATTACAGTACCTACTAGCAGCATTTGAATGAATAAGGCTATCTGTGAAAGGCTTTAGGGAACGATGAGAGCACCAGCTCCAAATGGATCAGCCACTGATTATTTGAGTATGTAAAAGCACCACAAACCAGACTTCTTCCTGGTAAAGTAGTAACTGGGATTCGGCGGGGGGTAGGAGGGGATAAGGTACAGGTAAACACAAAGACTTTCAGAGCTTTGGGGCACATGGGATGGAAGCAGATAGGAGTGTCTCTATCCCCATACTCATGTCTATCAAACCATGATGGGCTTGTCTTCAACAAGCATGTTTGCAAAAGAAGTATTAGCAAGCATTAGGAGTTATAGGAAGGTTTTAAATGACTACATGTGCCTTTTTATGATTTAGAGAATGCTGAGGGATAAAATGGTATTTGTGTTGGGGGAGAAGGCATAGGAGGGAGAGAAGATAAAACCTAAACATGTAAACCTGTGTTTACATGTGCCATGATGCTTGGTAATCAAGTCTCTAAATAATAATTCCAATGGATATTTAACTGTGATTGCTGAAGCAATTACATGGAGTAACTGAACTGAGGGAAATGACTTCCCACAAAGGAGTTCTAATTGATCTTTTAGCCATGAATACATGGGGAAAAATGGCATATGAAATTAAAAGAAATACTGGAGTCTTGAAAGATGTCATTTCTTTGCTCTGACTTTTTTTAGGACTTAAGAAGTTACTGAAAATAGGAGTTATTGTCTATTTTCATAGTTCTTATAGTAAACTAGTTCTGTTTAATGTGTTATAATGAAGACAGGTTTTTCTCCACCATCACTTTCAGCAAATCTTGTTTAATAATTTCATTATTCTATGGAAAAAGAAATCTAGGTTTTCAACAGCATGGCTTGTCATACAGGCTATAAAACTAATAAAGGAAGAGTCAAAGCTGAGTCAGAGACAGATTGGGCACACTGGCTTGGCCATTCCTGTTTGCCCCTCAGTAGGAATAAAAGAGGAGTGCAAAACACTAAACACAACTCAGTGGCCAGAGTAATGGGCAATTTTGGAAAGCTATCCTAGCCTTGGCTTGTTCAGATGTTTAAAAGGATTTTCAGTTTTTAAAAGTGTTTCAATTACTTATTCAGTGATTTAGTCAATGGTAGAAGAGCCAAGACTTCCTAGCATTGCATGCCCAACAGAGTTTTGTACCATATTTAGGGAGAAGTGCTGCTCCTGTATATGCTTTATTATTTGTCAATTTGATGGAACTTGATGCTATATATGTGTCTATATTTATGTGTGTATATATATTCATAGTTTAAAACTTCATAAGCAATTGATGAAAATGGTTGGGGGGGAAGTATTGATACTTAATGCTTGAGATCTGGAAAGAGGAAGTAAATTGATTTAATACGCCATTATTAAATTACTAAGCATACATGTTTCAGTTCATCCCCTTTCTCTGTGTGCAGAACAGCTTGCAAGCTAGCGTGATTTCCTAAAGCAATGCAATTTTGACTGCAAGTCTAAATTTTTTCAGTGTTAAAATTTAAAAATTACATTTTTTTCTATTTTTCATTTCCTGTTTTAATTTCTCTTGATGGTCTGTCTTAACCATCCATACAGCTGAAACACCTTTTCAGAAAGTCTTATTCTTTTGCACCTTGCCCATTTTCATCCATCTATTCGGAATGCTTCTTTGAAGGGGGTTTTCTTAATCAGATGCTCCAGCTAGATCAGCATCTCCATTAATCTCTGTGCTGATTCCTCCTTTGCATTCTCCATAGAAATAGGATGGCCATCTTAAGGTCCTTTCTGCCTTGTCTCCAGTTTATGTATCCCCTTTCATTTGTTAGTAATATCTTGACTCCTAGTTCACCTCTGCCTATGATGCTATGTTGTGCACGGGTGAAATAATCGCAGAGGTACCTTTGTGCTTTCTCTCACTTTCCCCAATTTTAGAACACCTTCCATTTACAGAAAAATAGGAAGGAAGATTGTTTAAAGTCCCATAGGGGTCTACCAACACACGGCATGAGTTATGTGGTATTTATGTGGATTTCTTGGCCAAAACCCTCTGTGCTTTAGTATACTTGGTGGTAAGCATGAGTAGCGATAATGGAATTAGTTATGATGCATTGATTTAGATGTAGCCATGGTTAAAAATGTTGTTAGAGTGTGTATCTCCATTTGGAGCCCTTCCTTTAGCAGAAAGTAACGGGTCAACTTCAGATGCAATAGAAAACCATGCATTAGTTGCCACTATAGAAGCAAATCCTAGAATTTCTATCCAGTATGGATGACATATATGTTGCTTTTCTGGGCTCTTCTGTCTGAATGCTTATAGATGACCAAAAGATTATTTTGGTAGCTTAAAACAGAACAAATAAGCAATAAACTGGAAATAGAGCCTATACCAGAGAGGAATAAGTATTTGGCTTGGAAAATAATTCTCTTAAAATCAGATAGGCGCTTCAGGTGAGAAGGAAGCTAGTATGTCTGGCTGCAGCCTAATAAAATCTGTTGCAGAGGAGAGGGCACATAAAGAAGAGAAGCTTCCCTTTTGTCTGATGCTTTAAAATATTCTATTTGCATGCTTACTGAGTTGAAACATTGGGCAGTATAAACTGTAATCACTGCCAAATACAAAATCAGGTAATTCTGTGGTCTTTTCGCCTTTTTAAAAATAGGGTTTTATCCTGAAATTAGCCATATAAATCATGACTGAAGTTGTTATTGTTCTGCCTTGGCAATAGCACTGATGCCCTCAACCCATATATTTTCTAGCAGTACCATTTCCCTGCTTAAAAAAGGCTGAAAATGCATGTAGTTTGCAGCTTGAATGTCCAAGTCGGGCAGTCTGGGTGAGATCAGACTGTCTGCTAATCCTAGTGAGCTAAGCGTAGCTATTGACAGTAGCGATGCTTTATTTCCAGCATTCTGTAATAGTGTCAGCAGCTACCATTGACCTTTTATTTCCCATATGTTATGCAGAGATCATGTCACCATAACTTCAGATTCCTGAGTACTTTTACAGTAGATACATCATCTTCTTGCATACTATATTTTTTCCCTATAGGACCCACAAATCTAGCAGATTGGATTGGGGGATGAGTGGGGCCCCTCAGGGCAGCAGAGATGCAGACAGAGATTGCCTGCTCTCCAGGAGCTTCACGAAGGAAGTGGAAGCAGCAGATAAGTGCAGATGGACAGAGGAGAGCAACAGAGCAGCTTCAGCATGGTCAGAGCTTAAGGTTTTGCTGGGTTAGTTTTAGTGTTGATCAGGTCTCTAAACTGCTTCACTGCGTTGTCACAAACAGTTCACAACAGTGAGCAGGGCAGGGAAAACATGGGGCAGTGCTGATTTATGTTCATTTCACTACTTAAAGCCTCAGAGTTTGAAACTATCTGCATTGAGGATACTGTACACCCTCCATTCCCAAGTTTGTTTTTCCATCTCTTTTTCATATTGCAATTTTCTGCCAAAATTGAATTGCCTTTTTTTCTGGATCAGCTCATGCCCTGATCTTAAATGCTAGCCCTGGACAGGGTCTTGGCAACATGAATTGAGATCAATATTAGCTAACAAGGGGTGAATCCTCAATGGACACATGGTCTCCTCCTAGTGCTGATGTTATTCCCCTTCGTTGCCAGCTCTGTCACTCCTCCTTATTCGCTTCCCCACTTTTACAGTGACACTGAGCAAGAATACATCCCAAGAAAGTGCTTTTGCTTCAAAGATGATTTTGTCCTTCCCCAGCAGGTTTTGCATACTGTATAAAGATCTCTCCTGTGCATGATCTTCAGCATTACAGAATGGCACTGTATTCTGGCTTTGAATGCTGCTGCCTTTCTTTCATTGTTGAATGGCCACAAAGCAACAATACTAATCCACAGCATCCAGGGTGCTGAAGGACTCCTGTTGCTATGTCAACAGCTTTGTTTTCATTTGCAACTATTTACCCACCACTTAAGATCTCTGCATTG